GAAACAGTTTATTTAGCCATAAGAACACTGATACAGAGTCGATAAAAATCATAATATTAACATGGCTGAGCCAGTTGAGAGCCTGAGCTCTCTTGTAGGCACCTGATATATACTGTGCATTTATCTCAAGTAAGCATTATGTAACATTTAGTATCATCTGGAATAGTACACATAGCATGGTGGTAATAAGAACATATCAGAATGTTACCACGGTTATCACTCCCTCATGAAGGAAGCCCCTGGTGAAGGAAGCCCCTGGTGAAGGAAGAACCCTAGTGAAGGAAGCCCCTGGTGAAGGAAGAACCCTAGTGAAGGAAGCCCCTGGTGAAGGAAGAACCCTAGTGAAGGAAGCCCCTGGTGAAGGAAGAACCCTAGTGAAGGAAACATCTTGAATGAAGCCACCCGGTAAAGGAAGCCTCTGCTACACATAGTCACCACCATAGCACCAAGTAGAGAAAACGCAATGGAGGAAAAGGTGAAGTGCCGAGGGAATAGCAAAGCAGACTTAAGAGAGAAGAAAGAAGGGAATAAAATAGTGACAAGGAAAAAGAGAGGGCGGGTGTGAGGGCAGGGGAGAGTGAGAGACAGTGGGTCATAACAACACATTAACACCTTGATGTTTTCTTTCTTTTCTCTTAAATGTAAGTTACCTGTTGTATAAACTGGGACCAAGTGAACCATGTGTGATGATCCTGTGAACTGAAGCACTGAAGACAGTGTGTTGGTGAGGTCACAACCAGGGAGGGGTGTTGTTGGCGAGGTCACAACCAGGGAGTGGTGTTGTTGGCGAGGTCACAACCAGGGAGTGGTGTTGTTGGCGAGGTCACAGCCAGGGAGTGGTGTTGTTGGCGAGGTCACAGCCAGGGAGAAGTGTTGTTGGCCAGCCAGGAGGTGTTGTTGGCGAGGTCACAGCCAGGGAGGGTGTTGTTGGCGAGGTCACAGCCAGGGAGTGGTGTTGTTGGCGAGGTCACAGCCAGGGAGGGGTGTTGTTGGCGAGGTCACAGCCAGGGAGGGGTGTTGTTGGCGAGGTCACAGCCAGGGAGGGGTGTTGTTGGCGAGGTCACAACCAGGGAGTGGTGTTGTTGGCGAGGTCACAGCCAGGAGGTGTTGTTGGCGAGGTCACAGCCAGGGAGGTGTTGTTAGGGGGAAGGTGTTGTTGGGGTCACAGCCAGGGAGGGTGTTGTTGGCGAGGTCACAGCCAGGGAAGGGGTGTTGTTGGCGAGGTCACAGCCAGGGAGGGTGTTGGCGAGTCTAGAGGTTGTTGGCGAGGTCACAGCCCAGGGAGGGTGTTGTTGGCGAGGTCACAGCCAGGGAGGGTGTTGTTGGCGAGGTCACAGCCAGAGGAGGGGTGTTGTTGGCGAGTGAGGTTGTTGAAGAGGTGAGCAATGAGCAAAAAAAATCATAATGTTTATCTTGTTGCTTTACAGAGAAGAGACCTGGAGACCGACAACTGAACACGGGTTTGTGAAGGAGAAGAGGAAGGAGAAGAGGAGGAGGAAGAAGAAAAAGAAGAAGAAGTTGTTGACAAAGCGAAAAGAAAATAACTGGAACTGAAGTGGGTGGAGAAGGAAAATGACAAAAGGGAAGACGAGACGGAAAGGACAAAAAAGATAAGGAAGACAATGAGAATGAAGAAAAAAAAGAGGAGAGAAAAGGGGAGGAACATTGATAAAAGACAAAGCAAACATCAGCTGGGAAACAAGAGAAGATGGATGGATAGATGGAAAAAGAGAGAGAGGAAGGGAGGGGGCACTAGAAAATAGGGTTAAGTTGATTAGAAAAAATTGAGGGTATTTAAAAATTGGAGGGTAAGGAGGGAGAGAAGGAAGGTGGGAGGGAGAGAAGGAAGGTGGGAGGGAGCGAGTGACGAGATTCAGAGTTGTTTGTTGATAGTCTGGTGAACACAGCTTACAGACGCAGCCACTGTTTACATACTGCACACAGACACAGTCATCATTTACACAAAGCAGACAAACGCAGCCTTATCTACACGCAGCAGACACACACACAGTCACCGCCGATACACGGCAGACAGACGCAAAACAGTAAATAAAGGCAAGAAAATATATATTAATGCAATACAAATTTGAAAAGGCAGGCAATAAAGATGTTACAGAGAGAGAGAGAGAGAGAGAGAGAGAGAGAGAGAGAGAGTGTCAGGGCGGAGTGAAGTGAAGCTGAGACAAGACAGACAGACAGGGAGCACCAAGGTAAAACCAGAAGAGGTAACGGCGCGGGGGGAGGGGAGGGGAGGCTCGTGGGCCACAGGTGTCACGCAGCAGATCACAGGTTAATCAATGACCCCCCCCCTTGCACACCCACCCAACACTACGATAAAGCCTAATTAATCCACCACCTGCATTACTTACCTGGAAATCTGATTTACATCCACTTCTCTTAATTATAATTAGGGCTCTTGTGCCGAGAGGGTAAAACAGGGCAAAGGTTCCCAGCGAGCTTTTTTTTTAGCTACCTGTTGATTGGTGGCACAAGTGTGAGGCGGGATGGTTTTATATATATATATATATATATATATATATATATATATATATATATATATATATATATATATATATATATATATATATATATATATATATATATATATATATATATATATATATATATATATATATATATATATTATATATATTATATTATATTATATTATATTATATTATATTATATTATATTATATTATACTGTATAAATCACTGAGGTCCGCCGCCCGCCCCAGGTGAGCAGCGTTCGGCGAGATCACGGGCGGATTGGAAATGGTCAGAGAAAGGATGTGACCATAATTATAGTGTGCGTATTCCGGAGATGATGATGATGGTGATGATGATGATGGTGATGATCTGGACAACGCGGGTCTGTATGTTTGTCTATTGGGGTTCACCAGATATTTTTACCCCTCACCTGGGTGACGACAGAACATATCTCATTATTACCTAGAGTCTCAGAGCACTTCTGACGCCATTAGCCCCACCATTGTGGCCTGAACTCTCTCACTGGGATAATAATTCACCATCCAAGTTTCACCAATGTCGGTTCTTTAGCGCCGTGTCTGTGACTTTTGTTTGTAAAAAAATAAAAAATAAATAAAATAGATCATATTAATTATAGCTATAACTGATAACAATTGAAATCATAATAACTTTAATGATAACAGTAACTTAACTGTATAATTATGATAACAACAATAATAATAATGATGATAATTATAACAACAACAGCAGCAACAACAACAACAAAAATAATAATAATCGTAATACCGAGGATAATAAAAAAAAAATAAATACTAACAAAAAAAAAATATATATAAATAAAATGAAAATACAATTAGACAAATTATTAGCGTCGCGGTTACCTATATATATCGTACTGAACTTCACATGGAGACAACGTACCTATGGGTTTGACTGAGACATAATAAAGTTATATTTACTTGTCTGCTAGTATATGTACCAGCGTAACGCGATGAATATACAGTATATACCTGGACGAGCCTTAGTACTGTATGTGTGTGTATGTTTCAGTGTTTGTATGTGTTGTATGGCGGTCAGTCCAACGTATGTTTATGCATGTTTCAGTGATGTATCTGTGTATGTATATGCATGTATGTACGTATGTATGTATGTATGTATGCGTCGACCAGGAGTGATAATTGGTCGGGTGTGGGATTGACGAGCGCCTGTCTTGCCTTTGGCTTATCGAATAATTGGCGGGGATACATGGCTCACTCTGTCATCAAAGCAAGCAATGCTGGCGGCCCCTGTGTGCTTGGTCTCTGCTTCCCGGCGCCTCTCTGTCTCTCTCTCAGTACCTCCATCACTTCCATAGCCACTTCCACTACCCCCAACACCACTACTACCACCTCCACAAACACCACCACCCCCTACAACTACCACAACCACCACCATCACCACTACCCACCATCAGCCTACGGACCTGCGCCACAAACTAGGAGACCAATCACGCCGCCCGTCTTCCGAGTTCTCAAACTATTATCATACAATTAGGCTGTTGTCCAAAGACGAAATTGGATTCTTGGTAATTAATGTGTGGCTACTGACTGATTCATCTCTCCCTCCCTCACACGTAATGATGGCTTGGCTGTTAATTACTCGTAAGAATAATGATGTGATAAAGTCTCGGAAGTCTGGATTTATCATCGGCGACTTAGAGTGTTGGTCAGACTCAGTGTACGTAAAGTGATAATAAATACGTCTTAGTGGTGTGTGTGTGTGTGTGTGTGTGTGTGTGTGTGTGTGTTAAACATGACTTAAAAATACACAGTTATTATGGAGCAGTGTTTTGTTTTTTTGTACTGATAATGATGTTATTGATACTAACTGGAGTTTGCATCTTAATTATCTTCCCGTATTTTATTCACTATACAGATGTAATAAAAGTCTCTCTCTCTCTCTCTCTCTCTCTCTCTCTCTCTCTCTCTCTCTCTCTCTCTCTCTCTCTCCCTACTGTGAGCTAGTAAACAAAAAAAATCCCAATATCGTACGAATAATGGTAGAGAGTGGGGGTATGTAATTGATCAAATGAGTCAAAATCCTATAGTCTTAATCTCAAGAGCCCAAGTCGTAAGGGTCTTAATCCTAATGGTTGGGTTAAGTAAATCTGGCGCCTATTATGATCAGAGCCCATTTTCCTTGTCACTGTGGAGGTACACTACATCTGTAACGCTCAGGCCAGGAAAGTTTCTACTCTTAAGACGTACTGTACCTAAGGTCTAACACGCCACTCAACCATTAGCCAGGCTTACCTGTGTTTACTGAGCTGGCGGTTCGCGCGGAAGCCTCGTAAGGTGAGAACCATACCTATTAAGTTATGGAGGCTTCCTTTAAGGCGAGGGCCTTCCTTACCTTGTAATCTTTGGAGGCCTCTTCAAGGTGAGGGGGTTCCCTGGTAATCCTTGGAGGCTTCTTTAAGGTGAAGGTCTTACCTGGTAATCCTTGGAGGTTTCTTTAAGGTAAGGGTCTTACCTGGTAATCCTTGGAGGCTTCGGTGTCGTGAGTGCTGAGTCCCAGGAGCTTGGCTTTGGCCTTGGCGTGGCGGCGGAGGAAGAAGAGGACGGTGGCGGCTACGAGGAGAGCTGCCATCACCCCGCACACGATGGCCGCCGCCGCCAGGATGTGTTTCTCGCTGGAGGTGAAGACCACCGCTGACGTGGTTGTCTGTCGGGGAGACCAAGAGTGAGCGGTGAGTGCGTGTGTGTTTGTGTGTGTGAGAGAGAGAGAAATGCAAAAAGAAAGAGATACCGAGAGAAAGATACAGAAAGAGAGAGAAGACATACAGAGAGACTATATACAGTAAGAGAAAGAGAAGAGATACAGAAAGAGAGAGAGAAGAGATACAGAAAGAGAGAGAGAGAGAGAGAGAGAGAGAGAGAGAGAGAGAGAGAGAGAGAGAGAGAAGAACAGAAAGAGAAAGAGAGAGAGAGAGCAGAGATATAGAGATAAACTGAAATAGAGAGAGACATATATAAGTAATAAGCCCCAATCCTCTTCAGAGTGAAACGAGCGACCCAAAACCTAGGAAGAAGGAACAAGTTGCTCCTTCATATAACATTTACCCGGAGAGGTCACGTAAGTCAGATGTGAAAGATGATGCGAGGCAAACTTTGAGCATTACTTCTCCGGTTCTGATCGAAAGTGGGGTGATCTTGGGAATGAGACTTTGGGTTTATGAAGCATCGTCTGGCACGGAGCTTCACTGAGACTCATACTGATACTCTTATTCTTGCCACAGTTTTATGACATACTCGTGTTAGGCAGCAAAAAAGTTTATGTGTATGATCTCAAATTTTATTCAACGTATTCTTAAGCAATATCTAGTATCCAGAGGAATATTACACAGGTTGATGTCTATAATCCAGTAAAAAAAAGTTCACTTGTATATACATTTAAACCAGAGAAATATTATAAAGTTGTTCATTACTCAGTAGATATTAGAGTAAAGATAAATGTCTACAATTCATCTTGACTGATTCTCTATGATTAAAGATGGGAAGTTCAGGGGAGGACAGAGACGGGTGGATGAATGAGATGTAAAACCTGAGAGGATTTGTGAAGAAAAGCCCCCCCAAAAAGACGTTTGTGGTGGGTCATGGTTGCCAACCCTCAGACATGATTGGTTGGGGATGTTACGATCACATGTCCCACATCCCTCATGGTGGACGGTGATGTGTCAGACAGGTGGTGCCACACATCCTTCACGGTGGACGGTGGTGTGTCAGACAGGTGGTGCCACACATCCTTCAAGGTGGACGGTGGTGTGTCAGACAGGTGGTGCCACACACGCTGGACACACACACATACGGATCACCAGTACAGTAAATAGGTACACATAATCTCTTCTCCAGATGATCACCGAAGACACCATGTTTCCCCTCCACGCTCCGAAATTAATTATCTCCTCGGATTTTGTCGCTAAATCACGATTGATTGCACCAATCTCTGGGAGAGGAGAGAATCCGCTGGCTTATATTTTTCTTTGGGGGTGAAAATTCTCTAAGCTATTAGTGAGATTACTCAGGATAGAGAGTCTAACATTTCTTTGGAGTATCAGTCGAAGAAAGATAATTCTCAGCCAACAACGAAAACAACCATATATTCAAGTTGGGTAAATTTGCATTGAAAATAGTATGTTAGTTAATTGCAGTGACGGCGCTGAAGAGTACTGTGATATATTCCCCCACTGGCCACTACCTAACTACCTTCCCCGTTAAAATCAGTGACGTAATGTAGCGGACCCAACCATTTTACGACCATACCAACACTGCAGTGGGGTGTTTTATGGTTAGTGCCTCCGTCATCTGTATTCTACCACCCCCACCCTGCCCTACCACCACCACCTGCCCCTACCACCATCACCCAGGCCCCACCACCATCACCCCTGCCCTATCACCATCACCCCTGTCCCACCACAATCACCCCTGCCGTACCACTATCACCCCGGCCCTACCACCATCACCCCTGCCCCACCACCATCACCCCTGCCTTACCACCATCACCCCTGCCCTCACCCCTGCCTTACCACCATCACCCACCACCATCACCCCGGCCCTACCACACCCCTGCCCCACCACCATCACCCCTGCCCCACCATCACCCCTGCCCACCACCATCACATCACCGCCTACCACCATCACCCCTGCCTTACCACCATCACCCGGCCCTACCACCATCACCCCTGCCCCACCACCACCCCTGCCCTACCACCACACCCCATCACCACCACCATCACCCCACCACCATCACCACCATCATCCCGGCACCATACCACCACACCTTACCCATCACCCCCACCTACCACCATCACCCATGCCCACCACCACCACCATCACCCCTGCCCCTGCCCCACCACCATCCCCCTGCCCCCACCATCACCTGCCCACCACCATCCACTACCCACCACCACCATCACCCCTGCCCCACCACCATCACCCACCACCATCATAACCACCATCACCCCTGCCCCACCACCATCACTGCCCCAGCCCACCTACCCCAGCCACCATCACCCCGGCCACCATCATGCCACCATCACCCCAGCCCCACCACCATCACCCCTGCCCCCATCCCACCATCACCCCGCCCTTCCACCCCCCTGCCCCACCACCATCACCCTACCATCACCCCGACCACCATCACCCCGGCACTACCCCCAACACCCCTGCCCTTCCCCCTAGGCCTACACCATCACCATCACCCCCCACACACCATCACCCCGCCCTACCATCACCCGCCCTTCACCATCACCCCTGCCCTACCACTTCGTCCCTACCATCACCACCCCCACCATCACCCCAGCCCCCACCACCATCACCCAGCCCCACCACCATACCACCATCCTCTGCCTTACCACCATCACCCCCTACCCCTACCACCATCACCCCTGCCCCACCACCATCACCCTGCCCCCCCACCATCACCCCGGCCCACCACCATCACCCCGCCCCACCAGCCACCACCATCACCCCCCACCATCACACCATCACCCCTGCCCCACCCTGCCCCACCATCACCCCTGCTCCACTACCATCATCCCACCACCTGCACCACCATCCCCCTGCCCTTCCACCATCACCCCGGTCCTACCACCATCACCCGGCACTACCCTCAACACCCTGTCCTCCACCATCCACTACCCATCCACCATTACTCCTACCCTTCCACCATCACCCAGGCCCCACCATCACCCTGCCCATCCACCATTCACCCCCTACCATCATCCCGGTCCTACCACCATCACCCCTGCCCCACCACCATCACACCTGCCCCACCACCATCCCCCCTGCCCTTCCACCATCACCCCGGTCCTACCACCATCACCCCGGCACTACCCTCAACACCCCTGTCCTTCCACCATCACCACTACCCATCCACCATTACTCCTACCCTTCCACCATCACCCAGGCCCCACCACCATCACCCCTGCCCTACCACTATCATCCCTGTCCCACTACCATCACCCCTGCCCTACCACTATCATCCCTGTCCCACTACCATCACCCCTGCCCTACCACTATCATCCCTGTCCCACTACCATCACCCCTGCCCTACCACTATCATCCCTGTCCCACTACCATCACCCCTGCCCTTTTTCCCTCACATCTGCCCTTCTACCATCGCCCCTGCAGTATGCCCACGGTGTCTGGCAGTGACAAGTCTCTACCAAAATACATAATCCCGTGGCCATTTTTGTGTGTGGCGGTAATCACAGTAATGGCGACGATGAAGCCTCGTCCTCGTCAGCATCAACATGATTGTCACCTTCCTGCATTCTGTTCTTCCCCCCGGCGCCAGGACTTCCGAGCCTCACTCCCTGCGTCTCAAATCCCCAGCAGCAGGAAGTGGGATTCCCGACCTTGCGTTCCCTCAGTGGCTTAGCCAGGTGCTGTTGAGGAAGACGTCCATTATTCGTAAGCAATGATTATTTGCGCCCATTTAGGATTTGCTCAGTGGTGCTCCTTATTCCTGGACCTGCTTCTGCCTTCACCTCCCTTCTTCAGGTATGTTAGTGGAAAAACCTTTTGTTGTCATCTTTTTTCCTCTCTTTCTCGCCATTATTATTTATGGTGGACAAGTCATGGCATTAATCAACACATTCGGGGGGAAAACTGTTTATCTCTCGGGACAACTTTTGGGGTTCTTAGCCACGACTACGTAAAGGCTGTAGTGTACACCCAGACTACAAAATGTACAACGCTAACAAGTACTTTAGTCCAGATATTGAGTATGGTCTATGGACAAACACTAACTACCAATCCACACCTGTTAACTGTTGCCTAAAGACAACCGTTGATAATCAAACCTTCCGAAAACCAACAGTACCCGACCATCTCAACCCCTCCAGGTAATATCAATCATGTTATTTTTCAAGAGAGACAACAAGATGTATTCACTACGGTGGAGGAGCTCAAGGGACCAGCATCACAGCAATTATATTGCTCTGTTTGTCAACTTTGTATTATATTGCTATTGGAAGACATTCCCTCACGTACCTCCATTTAGGTAATGACTCATCACCTAAATGGAGGTACGTGAGGGATTGACTCATCACTGATGAGTTAGATGCCTGTGTCATTGTGGACACCTCCGGGCAAGGTCCGAAATATTGTTAATAGGAATCATTAATTTTTCTCTTGCTTTCTTTTTCTCATTCCCAATCAGTTAATCACACACACACACACACACACACACACACACACACACACACACACACACACACACACACACACACAAAGGCTCGGGCCATCTTAAACAAAACCCCAGATATGTTAACACACACAGGAAGAGGGTTAGGCGGCTTCCTGTTCCATTCAAGAATAATAGCAATCAATTGCTTCCTTATTTCTCAAATCCGGGGACCGCTCAAAGGGACTACGTCATTATTTTTAATGATGCTACTGAAGGAGGTGATTATTCCTTAATGATGCCACAGGGAGCTGGGTGAGGGCCATCCTGGAACGCGGCTGGACGGCACTAACAACTGACACACCGTGATTAGCTGTTCATACATCTCATCCGTGGTCACCCGAGACCGGAACCTCACCTGCTTTACCCTCGCCTTCCTCGCCTCACCCACTGTTTGTGTCGGTAACTTAGTTTTTACCCCCCTCCCACTTTTTTTTTTTACGACAGCTCGGCCTTCTATAGTATACGTCTTGCCCCCGTTACTTCTACTGTACATGTTACTCCGTTACCTCTACA